AAGGTTACAATACACCTAGGGTGCAATTAACTTAGTTACACTCATATGTAAAAGCACATGTTTGAGCGTCAATATTAATGATCAACACCGTTCATTATGATCAACGTGTCAGCAAATGAATACAGATCAAGTATCATGTGTCTTGGGATTTTCTATCCTATAATTCAAGCAACTCAAAATAGTGGGCATTTTAGACCATTACAGACCATTCATTTCTAGGTCACTAGATGTGTAAACCAAAAATAATCTTCTTTATGTGATATTTTTTATCTCCATGGAGTTTTGGACAAATAGATTATAATGAACAATGTTGATTGTTGACTATCGATAATGGGACAATTATGATGCTAGAGGGTTCAAGATGAAGATGAATCTGTTATCCTTTAATGAGCAACTTTATATCAAAGAATTTCTTGATTGGGTTGTAGAGATAGAGAGGTTTTTTGAGTATATGGAGATTCCAGATGAGTGAGAGCTTAAGCAAGTAGCCTACCAACTAAAGGGTAAATTGTGGTTGACAATGTGGAGGGTCAATGTAATAAAGAGGCTAATTTCAAAATATGAAAAATTTGGCGGACTAATAATTTTAAAAACAATCCTAAAAATTAAGGTGCGTGTCATAAAAGGAGAAATTTTCAAAATGAACCATTTTTAAATTTAATAGACAAAATCGACCTATTGATTTTGCTAAAATTAGCTATTTAATTACACGGGACAAACAGTCCCGTGTAATTAGCGGCTACTAACGAGCTCATTAATTTATACGGGACTGCTAGTCCCTTGTTTTAAGCATCCAAAAATTCAACAAAAACCGGCCATCTTCGAGTGGCCAGACCCCCGCAATGATGACGAAGGTGGTGACGGCGAGCGCATCGGTGTCGAGGTTGACGAGAGCGGAGAAGTACGAAGTCCACGAGCGGGCAAGGTCGGCGGATCCAATGAGGGCTTTGAGTAGGATGTTGGCGGCGACGATAAAGGCTATGAAGTTGTCGAGCTCGACCCGAAGGTACGAGAACAAGCCACCAGCGTAGGGAGCCTTGACGGCGAATTCGGCGTAGCTGAAGACGGAGAAAAGAACGGAGAAGCCGGATAGAATGTAGGAGACGATGGATGGCGTGCCGGTACAGCTTGTGATGCGGGTGGCCAACGACGGAGAGCGGAGTCTGGTTGTGAGCAAGAGGGACACAAGAGAGATGGGCACAAGGAGAGAGAGAGAGGGGGCGTGGGGGAGAGAGAGAAGTGAGGGCACGGAGAGAGAGAGAGGGGTTACGGGAGCTATAGGTGAGATTAGTTACTGTAGTTACACGGGACTACTAATCATGTGTAATTATGAAGCTTACTCTTGCAATTTCGAACTCTTTATGGCTAACTGACAAAAAAAAAGGAAGAAAATG